TGTCCCTGCTCCCACCGGCAGCTCCCTCATCCCCTGCCCTCCATCCCAGCCTGGCAGCTCCCTCATCCCCTGCCCTCCATCCCAGCCCTGTGGGTGCATTGCTCCCTGCCTCTCTGTCCTTCCTCCCTGCAGCTCTGTCACTTAAGCTGTCTCCTGCAGGCAGCTCTACCCTCTCCAGTTGCCTTATCCCTAAGCGAGAGGGTGTTTTGCGGCCCCTTGCTGAGCTGTGTGCGTGTCCCGTGCTGTGCAGCCATCCTGTACAGGGAGCACCAAGCTCACGAGCAAACCCACCCAGGGTGTTCATACCCCGCGGGAGCCGGTGTTGCTCAGCTCCTCAGCTGCTCTGCGGGGCTCTGCACCAACCTGCCCTCATCCTTATGGAGCCAGCCCCTCCCTTCTCCCTCTCATTTAATCCTTTTAAAATTTGTTTTCTGTCACTCACACTGGGAAGGCTCATTTGCAGCCTAACACCAGTGCTGATCCCTGCTCCTTTGTCCGTTGGTGGCACGAGTGACATTTAGGGGCTACTGAAGATGAGCCCTGGCTCCCTTCCTTCTCCTGCACTCCTGGGGTTGTGGAGCCTTTGGGCAGGAGGAGCATCCCGAGTGGCTGCCCCCCATGCTGGGCAGCAGTGCCAGGGGGATGCAATGCCATGGTGCCGGGGCTCTTTCTCAGTGACACACAGTTTCAGAGGAACACAAACGCTCCCAGTCCCGAGCTGCTGGCTGGAAGTGTTGTTGGTGTTGGTGGGTCTGTGCTTGTCCTGGAGGCAAATGCAGGCAGTGGCACAAAGCGCCAGCTCCAGGGAGGTGCAGGACCAGAGCTGTGTCTGTAGGACTCTGCTACAAGAAGCCATTGCTTAAGCCAAGGCTTAAGCAGAGCCAAGGCTTAAGCTAAGGTTTGTCATCTTGCTGCTGTGTTTGGGAAAGAGAAGAATCCAGGTGGAGCTGCCCAGCAGAGTTTGGCTGCTGGTCCCCAATGTTGGTCATGATCCTCACCAGGGCTTGACTACTTGAATCTGCCCCTGGACTCGGTCTTGCTTGTTGCCTTTTTGTCTTGGTGTTGGTGCTTCAAGAACATGATGGATGTGTCTGCGAAGAGACATCATTGTGGTGGAGGGTCCCTTTACTGGGGTCTTGTTGCTACTGGTAGCCAAGCTTGGCTGCTCTGTCTCCATTGCATCCATGTGGAAGGTTTCTTGTGGGTCAGCTGAGCAGAAGGCCAGTTAGATTAGGTACTTCCTTAGTTGTCCGAGGGCTGTTCTGCGACGTGCCTGTGCCTGGCCCCACTGCTGGAGTGCCTGCGGCTGGAAATGGGCTGGAGGGACCATTGCCCTGTTGCAAAGGATGGAAGAAACATGGCCTCTTTGTCCCAAAGAGAGAGCCCAGCCTGCAGGGACCTTGGCCAGGCGTAGAGCTACATCAGCACCTGGGAGCTCTACGCTGTGTCCAGGGCATGGGAAGTCTGTGGGGGAAGCGGACATTGGCTCACAGACCTTCATCCCTCGTGGTGATTTTGCTGGTCCTCAGCTTTGTGGGGACATCTTGTGAGCCCCTGCCTGGCCAGAGACCCTCGGCCAGCCCAGCCTCCTGCCAGGTCTCTGCCTGCAGCTGGCAGCTCCCTCTTGCCCGGTTCTTTGGCATGTGGTTTGTCTTCGTTCATTCAAAAGCAGTTTGGGACGGTGTGTGCTGTGGGATGCAGCGGTGTGTGCTGTGATGCCAGCAACGGCAGCCTGATGGCTCCTGCAGTGTGTCAGGGGAGAGGTGCCTGTGCCAGAGAGGGGCCTTTCCCTAAGAGATGGGACTCAGAGGGGTGCTCGGCATCATTTGGATTCATTTCTCCCCAGTAAGTTGCAATTTGCGTGGCAGGATGGAGAGGCAGAAGCAAAAAGCACTGCCTGTTTTCTGAGGGGTGCTGTGGCTGCCAGCACTGGTGTCACAAGCTGCACGACCTCTGCAGCTCTCGTACAAAGGGATGGGATGGCTTGAAGTTTACCTACCTGCTGTAACAGTCCCCATGCAGAGCTGAGGTGACCGACACCTTCTCCTGGGCTGTCATTGGTGAACGTTTGACCTGAAAATTGCCAGGGATGCCCAGAGAGCAAAGCAAACTGGCCAGAGAGCACGTTGGAGGCATTGCGGGCTGTGTGGGTGGGGGAGTGGGTTGCAGCATCTCTGTGGGGCTGTGGTCTCAGGCAGGAGATGTGGGTTTCAGGAGCAGGGTGGCTTCACAGAAGGAAGAAGAGTTTTGGCTTGAAAGAAGCAGGCTTGCTTTCAGGGTCTGCTCGCTTGCTTTAACATTTGAGGGCATTTAGCCAGGCTGCTTTCTGGTGTGAGGGATTCAGATTCACACTTCTGTGATGCTTGTCCCCTCCCCATCTTTTTTTGCAGCCCATCTGGCTGGCTGATAACACTTCAAGCTCGTGTGCAGTCACCCACCGGTGACCCACCCGGTTCTTCCATCGAGATTGATTTTTTGGGTTAGGTTTTTAGGTCTTGCCTGGTGTGGAAGACACTCTGGTGAGTGGAAATTAGGGAAAGGATGACATCTTCCCAGCCAGAGTGAGGAATGGATGTCCTCCCCTGGGGAAGGCATTTAAGTACACTTTGTTTCCAGGGGTTCAATGGAATCTAAACTAGAGGTTAATTACTCTGTGGAATTAGGGGTGCTTTCGTGAATCGCTGGTGAATGGAAGGGGTAATAAGTCAAACCCGCCTAAAACTCTTTGTCTTTTGTTTAGTTTTAGTCCTTGTCAAACTCCAATGACTTGTTAGCTCTTTGAAGAAAGGACATCTTGGTTAAATATTCAGCAGTCCATTCATTAAGGCTTGAGTGTCGACTATAAACATCTTTTGAGACACCCAATAGATCTTCAGCAAACTCAAGGGAGACTGGGCTTGGTGTTCCCCACCATCCCAGGGCAAAAAAGAAGCAGAAAAAAAGCCTTTTCTGCCTTCTCACTTCAGTCTCTTTCTACTGTTCAAAAGGAAAGCAACCCTGGAAGTTTTCCGCATGCTTTGTAAAGAAGTAGAAAGAAAAGAAGAGCCTAATTAAGAAAATAAATTATTTACCAGCAAACTATTTCTTTGTTAATTGGTTACTTTAAATCTTTTGGAGGCAGACATTTCCAGGCTTGCTTCTGGCAGCAGAGGATGGAGAAGTGGTCACCTGTCTTAGTGTGTGCAGGTAATGCCTGAGTTTCATTTTCCAAGCATCCCTGCCTTTGCCCATTCTTTCCCATCTGCCGTCCCTCAATGGGGCTCATCCTTCTGAGTGCTGCAAAAAATAATCAGGTCTGCTGTTGGGAAGTACCACAGTCCCGAATCCACACTACTGCTTACAACACTGGACTTCATCTGGCCTTGGCAAAATGGCTACAGGTGTTTCTCGCTGCCAAGGGTTTGGCTTTTTCTCTCCAACGTGTTCCT